TTTTCGATATTTTCGATAAACTCATTTTCGTTTAATCTTTTCGTTATACTTTCTTTTAGTGCGTTGACGTTTTTTTTGATTTCGACTTCAAGATAGTCCAAGATATCAAACGTTTAGGTTGACTCCTTTGTAGACAATGATTGTGATAACCATGTCCACACGTGAGTATATACATTACAATTATTCAAATTAGCATAGTTAGCATAATCACAATATACGTAATTGACAAAATGCTCATATAGAAGTTCTTACATTTTTTTTTTTAATCTCTTTATAACCATCTATGCTAAATTGAACCAACTTATTTGATCATCATGTATCTTCTGGTTGGTAAATTTTCATTTCCCACTTTCGAAATATACAATCTCATCCCATTTCTGAGAAATGCTCAAATCATTAAATTAGGCTTATCCCCTCTCAAGCCTTCCATTTGTTGTGCTTTACAGTACTTACTCGCTAAGCTTTGATGTTCATCTCTGGTCACTTCGATCTCACATCCAATTGGTCGGCGGTAAATAGTTGCATCTATTAGACAAGCTATGCTTTCAACAAGAGAATTTTCAGAGCCTTTGGCTCTCTGGTTATTTATTATAAGAAATAAAAATAAAAATAATTAATTAGATGATGTTTTATTTTGTGTTGTAAAGTTAATTTACAGTATGATACTTACCATCTGGTTATTATAAAGAAATAAAAAATGGCGCTAACATAGATTTAATTACCCAAAAATTTATTAACAAGTTGGGTTTAGTACATCATGTAAATAAAGCAATAGTCTCGAATTACAAACTCCTGATGGATGATTTTCTATACTAGGAAAGGTTGAACTGCAAACTAGTTTTAATGTTGATGGGAAGCATAAAAGTACCAATCCCATTGAATTCTTGGTTGTTGAACCAGATTGGCCTGGGCCTGATTTAATGTTAGGAAAACCATGGTTGCAAAAAAATGATGCAACAATTAATATGTGTAATAACAAGCTTTCTATACATGATAATTTTGCAATCCCAATTGTGAAAAATAGTGAATCCGAAACTGAACCTGAGACAGTCTCATCTGTTCCAGATTGCAAATAGAGAATAAATCATGACAAATATGTATTTTTGTCTGATCAAATGACATAAAATGATGTCAAGATTGCCCATATAAAAACATTTACTGAGATCATCCATGGAAAAAAATAAACATAATTATAATATTTTTAACCTCTACAACTGGGTATTAATTATTCCAATAATAAAATTGTTAGCACATTTTCATAATCTTGACATCTGTAAAAAAATCCGAATAAAAGAGAGTAGATTATGCAACTTAATTGTTGTTCAGATAAACCTTATTACTAAATAAAATTTCTAGTAGGTTCTATAATGTTTACGCAGATTTGTGCAACAGAGTATTAATAATCAAAAAATTTTTTTTTCCAGTCACTCTGCAAGATAGCATTCATTCCAAGCAAGATTCTGTAGATTACACTACTTCCTCCTCACCATTACTTCCTCACTGCTACGTTATGCCAATTTATCACCCCAGAATTATGCATCATTTTAGAAACAGGTTGGAGTTCCAGATACGTTTCCTCACATATAGTAATCGAACTAGCCTGAACGAAGCTTTGATGAAAAAGAATGGTTATTGGTTAACCAATTGGCCAAATCGCAACTTCTCAAATGTTTGCAACATCAAAAAAGGAGTTTAAGTCAAGATACTAGTACCAGGGGGTCTTTTCCTTCAGTTGAAGAAATCAGAAAATGGGTGCCTGTGCAAGTTGTTGGCTTCTTAGAGTCTGGAGATGAATTATGTCTTACTAATAATGACATCAAAATGGTCAAGAAAAATAGGTTCGCTGGTAAAGACTTTCTTCTTTTGAAAGAAGAAGATCTCTGTTATATTGGATTATCTCTTGGTCCAGCTAAAAGAATAGCACAGTTAATTAAGGCAATTTCAAGAACATCTTTAATAGATAAGCCATCTACTAATCTTGTACACATATTCGTTGATAACTCAAACATCTGGATTGAGGGAAAGTACACCATTGCAGAGTTGGCAAATTGACTGGTCCATTAAGAGCTGATGGACTTTGAACCGGTCCATTGCCATTAATAAATTACTAAATATGGCTAAAATGCTATACTGATGGGACCAATGGATCACCAATAGACCATCAATGGATCATACATTTGCCAACCCTGCACCATTGGCAACCTTGAGCAGTTAGGTACCTATGATTTTGACAGAGATTCCTATTATTTTAAACAGCTCAAGATTGACTATGGTAAGCTTCTCACTACAGTTCAGTGTGGATGTAAACTAGGTGGTGCACCATTCTTGGTTGGTTCTCAACCACCGCCTAATGACTCATTGTGGTCACACATTAAGGATCAAGGGTTTGAGGTGAATGTGTTTGATCAGGACATCATAAGCCATTGTGAGAAGGGGGCTGATATAGCACTTGCGTTATCAGCAGCAGAAATGATCACATTAAATGATCCTGGTATTTTAATTATTATTGCTGGAGATAGAGACTATAAACCTGTAGTAAAACGAGCACTGGAACTCAATTGGACTGTGGAGACATGGTTTTGGAATTTAGGTATGAAAATGTTATGTTCAAAGTTATGTGAATTTTTAAATTGCATTATTTGAAATATCCTGTCTTCTATAGGAGCCTCTATTAGCCTTAAATCAAGGACAATTTTTTGTCCTCTGGATTAAAGACTAGTGCTGTAATCTAAAAAAGGAAAAAGTATGGTTGCAAAAGTGGTTGCAAAGGTAATTGCAACCACTTTTTATATGCTGTAAATACAATTACTACCATCATCATAATTTATGGCACTAGTCTTTACTCTGGATAATTGTTATTGATCCTTCTCATATGGATTAGGACCTGACCTCAGTGAGAAGAACCAAGTCCTTGAAGTTACTGATGGCAACTTCATTCGAAATTTGAAAAATGAAGATGTATTAGAATGGTTTAATACTTTAAACTTGTTCGGTTGGTGGGAATGGGATGGTTATAGGGCTGTGCGATTTTACTTTAATAATTCGGAAAACTTGGAAGTGGTAAAAAATTGGATCCTGCACAATTATCAGGAAGTACGAGTCCAAGAAAAAAATTAAGGGAAAAAGATTTTTTAATCAAATATCTGTTTTTTCAACCTGATTACAGAACACATTTTCGTTCATATCAGGATGCAGTATCCAGACTTTTACCTTATCATATCTTTGATTATCCACAAGAAGATATGAAAGCTAATGATCAAATCAAAATAAAAAATTTTATTATGAATAAATAATAATCAATATAAATAAATTTAGCAAATAAATCTCTATTAAATTTATTTTATTATCATTACTGTTAGTGTTATCATTATTATTGACTTCCATTTTATATTAAATGTATTAAATAACATTCCAATGACTTTAATTGGATTTGGATATGGAATGCCGATCATTCCAAACACTTCAAGAAATAGTCTAGCAAGAACTTGGGAAGCTAGCCCATCGTCAAAATTATACGAATAAAAAATAATCTATGAAATAGACATGCCTTGCATGATCCTGCCCTCTCACCAGGGATCATGACGCTCTGTAATTATGGAGCCAACATGCAATTATTTCTTCGATTTGATTAGATATTAACTAATGATGCAAATCTAACCTATTTATATTCAATCTAGTAGAGTTGTTAGAACTGATTCTATATTATATAGCAAATGATAAGGCACACTGTCCTGTCCTATTTGTCAATAGGCTCATCAAGTGAATCTGATTCATCCAATTCTGAGTTATCCAGCCTGAGCCCAATTATCTGATTCCAGCCCCAAAGGACTGGGACAAAGTCCCAAAAATAAACAATGCAGTAAAGTCTCTCATATAAGCCTGGTATAGCTATGAAGAAAAAAAAGTATCCCATCATATTTGAAAACATCGCAAAAGTAAGCCTTGCAGTAAATCATTACATTAATAGACACCTATTGTCCAGATCATGTGGGTCCCGAATTATAAGATGTCATGAATAAAAAAGACTAATGTATTTTTGACATGTGATGTGTATTGTAAAACAGGAATTATAATTTATCCAAATAAAAAGGGATGTAACTTCTATATCTTACCTTGATTAAATATCATGAAATATCATCATCAATCACCCATAGAAAAACACCTAATTGACATATGTCAATTATTGTGATATTCCATAGGAAAATTTGCCCTACAACTGATTATTTTATTATTCGAATGATAAAAGAGGTCAATGTATTTTTGACATATAAAAATTCTCTGGGCAAAAACATAAAAAGGGATATAGATTACACAAGTTACTTGCTTTTGTTAATTATCCGATAATAAAAGTTCATATAGTTGTTTGCTTTTATTAATTATCTGATAATAAAAGGTCCTGTATGTTGCATGAAAAACCATAATCATCCCCAGATCTTTGCAATATAACAATAAAAATATGGTTAGAACTTCTTAATTGTTGGTGATTTCTTGACGTAAAGTCAAAATTCTATTTTGTGGATGCATGATTTTTCAACAAAATGGTTATATTAATTACTTCTGATATCATGGAGTCATACCCCTATAACCCTGGATCAAACCTTACGAGGTTTTGATATCTCCATGTGTTTTTTCATTTGTTATAATACATCATTATCACACTAGTTAACACTTATAAAAGATTGCTCAAAACCTGTAACACTGCTTTTTTCCTTACTTGGGATAGATTGTATGATTTTGGTTTTGATCCACTATTTTTTTTTTTTTTTTTGTAAATTAAATTTGTTGTTTGCCTATATTAAACAGTGGTATGGGAAATAAGACGTTGTAGAAGAGTGATCATTATACATGAGTGAACGAATGAACAGATCGAACAGATCGAGTGAGCATTGAGCTGACAAAAAATCAATATTTACTAAACACAATTTTTTGGGAAGCATGAGATGAAAAAAATGAGATGTTTCTTTGATTTAGTTAAAAATTTTTTTTTTTTTTTTTACTCTTTGAAACAAGAATTTGACAATGAGCTTTATGATTAGATATTATATTCAGAATCAAATGGGCTCCAACTCTTTTTATAAGAAAATAACTATTAAGATTGTAATTTACATTTGACAAAGTCCACTAATCATCTTTAATATTAAATTAATGCTAATGTTGGCCAACTCTTTTTACCATCAATAACAGCAAATCATAAATGATCATCAGATGTAATTCGTCATAATATCATATATATAGCATGAAATAATAAAATATATTATGTTATAATAAAGAATAAAGAATAACAAATACATAAATAATAATGAAATTATGTAAGATTGAAATCTTCACTGATAACTCTTATAATAATAAAATGATTTTAAATATTATTAATATTAATTATTAAAAACCCTAAATCTTGATATTTTTCCAATATTTCTATTTCATCACTTCTTAGCAAAATCTCAAATTTATTATATTTATCAAATCCTATTGTTAAAGGTTTGGGTCCTCTCCAATTCTTCATTAGAATGTCCAAAGAATGGTTACTAATATT